TCATTAAATAAATAAAATTAAAACTGAGCATCAAGGGCTCTTTGACAAAACTGTATAGCAATTAATTATGTTTGATTAATTGCACTTTGGACTCAAGCGTTTCAATCTAAAGCCATATTTTGCTTATTACTAAGAGAGTTATATTCAGAGCGAGCATATAAAACATAATGAGCCGCAAATAAAAATTGAGGATATAAATCCACCAAATCATATTTAAAACACGTGGCTTCATCCCTCCTGCACATCATATTTTTTGTTTTCGTTTTTTATTGCCTTTGTTGTACCTTTTACATCAATTGGAATGCCATACATTTCAATGATTACGACGCGCAAATATTCAATCAACTGTTTGTCTGTTCGGTCTATGTCCTTATACACATCCACATCCCGCACCACGTACCCCTTAACCATTTACCCCTCCTAGCCACCTGCCCCTATTTTATATCCAACACCCCTGGATATGGTGTTTGTTATGGACTCGTTTGTGGATCCGCGAGTCTCGTTGGTTCATCTGCCGGCAATCCAACAATTTCAACATTTTTTCACGTTTATTATTTTAAATAATCGATTGTTTTTGGCCGCACATATAAAAGCGTTTACGTATACATGAAGAAATAAACTTAAAAAAGGATTTCAGCTATAATAAGATTATTTTATTTCAGGTGGAAATCATTCTGAAATTGAAATACTACTTGTCTGCTATTTATGAATGAATTAAACTTCCCTGAACTTTTAATTTAAGATAATAAATGTGTATTTCATCAATATATATATATATATGTATATATTTTTTCCAGCGCATGAGTATTTGTGCGTGATGGCAGGAGGATATATATTTTATGGCCGCCAGCTAAGGACACTCATTATCCGGTTCGGCCAGTAATAATACTGTGAATAAGAAACAAGAGCTGCTATAATGCTGCCAGACTAAGCCGACTACCAAATACCCTTCCGATGTAAGCTCCTGTGAAATATATAGCCGTGTATTAAGAAAATTATCTGCGGGCAAATGGTGTGGTTCGTCGCTAATAGTTTCCAATTAGTGAACGGATGCAGTGTATCGCCATTGTAGAGTACACAAATCTAAAGCAATTTGTTTGTGGCCACTAAATTGGCCAATTCCCCGCCCCTACCCTTCCACTATGGTCCAGCCGACCACTTTTTTTGGCCAAAATTAATAACTTCGTCAATTTAAGAGATATCAACTTGAAACTTTACCAATCGTAAAATTATACTTATAGGATGATACTGGATCAAAATTATCCGGATCAGGAAACTATATCCTATAGCTTTCATAGGAACGACTTAGAAATTTTTAAGATAAATTCACAAAACTTCGGTTACTTCAAGATTAAGTCATTTTAACTACATTTTAAAAATTTTATAGGAATCGGATGACGAATTCCTATATTTTACATAGAAAGAATCGGAAAATAGTCCTGTTTTTCCTTATAATTGCATGAAAAGTGGGTTATAAAATCTTTCTACGATTCTATATTTTTTTTTTTACATTGTATTTTATTAGAATAACTATATTTGATACATTTTGTTGGATATTTATTAGTTTGCATGAGTATAAAGACGTTACTTCAGCGTTTTAATTGACATTTTCATACAAAATATAGGCATCTTTTATTGCAAATTTAAAGAAATGTGGTCAAATGTGGCATTACTCACTATATGCAAATAAACAAGAATTAATTACTCTACAACACATAATAGGTTTCAAGGTTGGACTAGGCTGGACTCACTTTAAAAAACCTTTTTGAAAATTACATTTAAAATAAAATTTTAATATTTTAGATGATAGACTTTAACACCAAATTAAAAAGACATCACAACGACTTAAAACATTTGACTATATAAAACATGTAGTACAAATCCCACTGATTCAAATTCAAGTTAAAAAATTTAACAATTATTGTTTTTTCCATGACTTTTCCTAGTTTAAGAATTGTATTAATTTTCGCACTTATAGTCTTGCCGTTCGCTCGTGTGCAATCAGCTGACTTTGGAAGACTCTTGTGCGAGAGTGGCGCCACCTGGGAAGATTTCGAGAATGGCACGTTGATGGTCACTCTATTTCTAATTAATAGAGACCAAAATAACTTTATTTGGTAAACTTTCAAAAAATGGGTTTTGGCCAAATAAAGTGGTCGACTGGACCATAGTGCCTTCGAGGAGGGAATGATACATGTGTGTGTTTGTGTGTGAGGCGTCACAGCTGTGGTTCATAAATAAAAATAAATACATCGCTTGATTTATATGGCCCTAATGAGCTCAGTGCACAGTTCAAGCGACTTTGGGAGCCGGCAAAGCCCGAAAACCGAAAAGAGGCGAACCACCAAAATAAATAAATAAAATCCGCAAGCACATCATGTAAATGCTGTGCAAATAAAAAGATACATTCGCTGGCTAACAAAAGGGAGGGCATAAAAGATGGCTATGCAGTTGGGAAAGTCGCAATGTTGCCTACTTTTCGGCTGCTTAGCCGCCAGGCGGAGGCCATTTATTTGTTACGTGCGACACACACACATTTACATTAACAGGGCTCTTACACTGACAGAAAAAAATGTATACAGAATTGTATTATTTTAAGTTATTTTATTAAATATAAATTATATATAGTACATCCAGACAATCTCCTGATTTAATATTTAATATTTATTTATATTATTTCCGACCCCTTAAATACTATATATATATATATATATATATATATTTTTTTTTTTTTATTAGTATAAACAGGCGCGTCTTCTGAAATTAGTTAGCTAAGATTAATTTATCCTATAAAATATAATAGTTCAAATGTCAATTTAGTTTTGTTTATTCATTTAAAAATGCTTATATGATTTATAAATGTTGTTTTTCAGATTTCCTGTCGGAGATCAGCTAAATTCTTTATAAGAATATCAACGATAAAATATAAAACAATCAATAAATTTGAAATCATAAGCTAAATACATTTTAACGAAGATGTAAACTGTCAAAGTAAACAAAGTTATATAGAAATACTTCTTTCAAAAATATACTTTCCTGTATTTAAATGTTTTCTTTCCAGACCTTTTTCCTCTGCGCATTTGCTCTCACACTCTTAGACCTCTATATTCTCTCAATTTAGTTTATCGTGCCCTACGTTTGATTTGCTTTCAGTGCGTGCCCATCATCATCAGCATTAGGCATGATTGTTGTTGTTATTAGACAAATATATATACTATATGTGTGCAGGGAGATAGCTGGAAGGCGTGCAACTGTTTCTGGCATAATGACGCTAATTTTGTATGGTCCGGTAACGGTAAGGTTGCCCTGTCCGGGGTCCTGCCTTCACCATCCAGCTACCATAACTTATGAGGCGAATTTTTCAGGTCCTTGCCGTCGTCATGGCCTAATGTCAGGTGATTTGACAATGGCATTTATTAATTAAAACATGTGTCGCACGCACGAGCGCACACAGACATCAGATCAGGCCAGACGCCATTGATTGGTCCTTGCCCAACAGGGATAGTGCCGAGCAGGCAAAAGGATGTTATCGAGGGGGCAAGCGGCCAGAATAGAAGCCAGCCAGGACAGGACATGGGGCAATCACACACTCCTGTGAAGAGCCAGCAAGGCAAAGGCTCATGTCAATCTCAATTTCAGAATATTCCGTATGGAAATCATCCAACAGGAGTAACAAACATAGTTGTGTTGGAATGAGAAGAAGATTTGGGAGTGTATGAAGTAGCTGAATGAATATAGGGTTCTCTATTCGAATATAAAAACTAATTACAATAAAAACAAACATAACATTGTATGTACAAACTGTCAATTTAAGTGAAATGAAAACCTCAACTTTTAATCTGTTGCAGTTACCACATTTCAAGTGATTAATCTCGCTTAATTAAGAATTAATCAAATAAACATTTTAAGTCACATTTAATCGGAAATGATGTAGCTCTCAAAGTAGTAATTGAGGCTTTTCAATTGAATGATTTACAAATAATTTCAGCATATCACGCGGCAATCCTCTTCGGCACCCAATGGCAACTCTGAAAAGGGACGAAAAGGAGACGCCGTGGGCTCGGGCTAGGGACAGCGGCGGAGGTAGGGACAGGGACAGTAGGGGCCAGAGGCAATGGGACAGAGCAGAGCAAATGAAGTCACGTACGTGCGATTTTTCTTCTGCTTTGGGGCACATATTAAAATACGTGCGTCTCGCATTTACTATAACTTTTACACACACACACACACACCACTCACACAATACACACACCCATACCCGCGCACACACATGCACATTAATGGCGGCATGATGAGGCAGCTAAGTTTGCGTGTTTGTTGCTGCTGTTTTCCTCACTCACAAAAGGGCTACAAATGGCTTAGGCTTTTCCTCCGCCTCGCTTTGGTTTTTTGGGTTTTTATTTTTTGTTTTTATGTGCTCCGGCGTGCGTGTATGTATATTTGTTTCAATTTCAATGACTGCAAACAACATTTGCACTTAGTAAATAAAATATAGCAAGCGCAGGAGTCGGCACTCCGTTCCTTTTGGGTTTCACTACGTTTAAAGTTGGCCACACTTCGCTCTATATATTTTTTTTGTGAAGCTTCCTCGTGACCCCCTTGCCTTGTTGGCGGCTGGCCAGCGTCCAGTGCCGAGATCCAGATCCCAGTCCAGATCCCGAGATGCTCATTTGCATTTTGGCTGCTGCAGCAGGCCAACATAAAAGTGGGAAATGGGCCAATGAACTGGCAGACAAAAGGCCCGAAACGGGAAGGCCTGCCCTACTTTCAGCACATATTTGCGACCAATGAAATGGGAAACCAACACAGAGGGAGAAATCACTTGGACAATACACAGGGCAGTGACACACCCAGCATTGATCACTATTTTGGGATCTACATAGGAAATAAAACAGAACCTGAGGTGCGGCTTTATTCTTGAAGTATGCGTCTATATTCCTCCAAGTTTTTAATTTTCTTATCAAATAATATAGTTGGAAAACAGTTTTATAATGACAATTCTAAGGATTATCTACCAAATAAATTGATATTTCTATTTCTAGATGGATTAAACTATTGCCGTTCCGCTTGTTGCCGTTTGTATTGGTCTGACCTGCACCCACCTGACCGCCTAAGGACTCTGTAAACAAGAGCTGTTTCTGAGGCAGGACTTTATCAGGGGCTGCGCTGGATGAGGAAGAAGTAGACTTTGGCTTATTATTTAGCTGCAGCTTTTGTGTTGTTTCTTCTTCCTGTGTAACCGTGTGGGATGGCTGCTCCTGTCTTTTTTGCTCGATGAGTTGTGATGACTTCTTCAAGCCATTTGGCCGCTGTTGCACCACAGGAGATTTTCTGCGTAGAGTTATTTTATTTGGGTTTGATTGAGGCGGAGGAAGGTTAGCCTGGGTCTCTAAGAAAATCTCTTCAGTCTGTGATGCAGCACTGCAGGCCGTCCCCGAAGCAACTGGCTCCGGCTGTGTATATTTTGAGACCATTGTGCATGCTACTTGAAGAGCTTTATCCACCTTCTGGACGTTTAATTTTTCAACCTGCTTCTCAATTCGATCCTGCTTATCCTTCCTACCTAGATCCTGGTCAGTAGATACCATGTCGCATGCTACTTGAACAGCCTGATCCACCATCTGGACTTCAGGCTTGTCAAGCTGTTCCTTATTCTGAACCTGATTGTCCTGTCTGCCTAGATCGCATACTACTTGAACTGCTTGATCCACCATCTTCACATTCTGCTCCTTAACCTGTTCTTTGTTCTGAACCTGCTCGGCTCTTATGGCTAGATCCTGGTCTAGAGGGACAATACTGCATGCAAGCGTCTCCTTAATCTGATTCTTCTCCTGCGCGGAGCCTCGATCATGGTAGGTGAGAATATCGTTGTGCACATAGTACTTCCTCGACGACTGGGCGACTAGAACGAAAGTCTGGAAGAACCGCCTCATGGGTTGGCCATCGTTGGACAGCTCTCCGCTTACTTGCAACACCACACCGTCGCCAGGCGAAACCTGGGCATCTACCCGAAAGATATTCGCTTGGCAATCCTTAAAGTCTAGCTGCTGGATCCGGTTGTGTATCTCTCGCTTACCCACCACCACCTGGGAGTCCCCGTGGGTGTACGAGGAGTTGTTATTGTAGAAGCGGCGCAACTGGTTGGGAGCCTTGTTTAGCAACGTGTAGTACTGGCGGACGAACTCATTTCCCACTGCCTGCGGAGAAAACTGCTGGGTGTCCATGGTATCCATGATGTTTCCCTTTTCTGGTTCCTATTTCCGATCCTCTCCTAGAACTACTGCAATTCTCTGGAGTTGAGTGTGTACAAACAAATACATATACAAATATTAAGAAATAATTTGATCGAATTTCGATACTTTATGAAGTGACATAAGAGGAAAATTCATTTGGTTTCGGTTTGATTTTTATAAATGAATTTTTTTGTTCACCAAAAAACGACCAGCACTGGTGGAGCAAGCTAAAAAATATATTCTATTTCCCCAGCCCCCTTTTCGGACTGAGTCATGTAGAACTGCTAACTGTGACGCCGGGGGACTGTGGCCGAGCCATTGTTGACTTGATTTGTATGCGCCTTGGCTCTGTGCAAGGGCCACGTTGGTCTCAGTCTCACTCAGTCTGCGCCCGAGCACTTGAAATCCCCTCATGCCGGAAACTTTATTGAATTTCCTGTGGCATGCAAAGCAACGGCTTTCAAGACATCCTCCGCACCATTTTGGGGCTCCAAGTGGAGTCTAGAGATGTGCCCACGAAGCCAATGCTGTTCCCTCTCCTTCTGTTTTAAGAGTGCAGACAGAGGTCAGACCTTGAAGTTAATACAGATCGATGATCAATGATAACGAAATTCCCAGCAATATGTATTTTTTGGGTTGGTTATATACATACATACTTATCTGATGGGGGATATGTGTTGTTGAAAGCTATTTCCCAGTCGTAAAAAATTGAATATTATCTGCAAAAGAGTTTTCAATATAGAAATGTTTAAATATAATGAACCTTATTATTATTATTTATATTACCAATCAATTTCAAGAAACAGAAAAAGTATATTAATACATATAGGAAGTTGCATTCATTAAAAACAACACTTCAGGAAGTTCAACTGTTATTTCGTTTTCCGTTTGTATTTTTTTATTTTTTTATTTTTTGTATTCTGGAAAATATATCAGCTTCAATTTATCTGGCCCCGGCACCGGCACCTGTTCTACGTGCGTGTTCATGTGTGCAGGACGCGGAAACGGGCGGGGAGATCCGCCGCAGGAAGCGGAAGGTGGCAAGTGCCCCTGATCCTGTCCCAGCCCCACTCCTCTGATCCTGATGAGGGTTAATTTGCCAACGGCTCAACAATTCATCAGCCAGGCCAATTAACTAAGCGCGACCCATTTCCCCAGTGAGGCGGCGCCGCCACTTGGCGGGTGTTATAAATTTAAATTTAAAGGCCAAACAAGGCCGCGTGCCGAGTGCTTTATCGCTGGCCTAGCAGATTCCCCCGGAAAATTAAGAAAAACTGCCTGCTCGTCCGGACTAAATCCGAAGTGGAGGGCCGAGACTGGATCTCCTTGTCGGCTCCAGGATGGCCGGGATACGATGGGATGTCCAGGTACTCCGACGCCCAACTACTCGTATTTGGACCAACTCCGCTGACAGCGTTTGCACTTTATCCTTGTCAGCTGTTATCGTTTGTTGCTGCTCGTCTCTCGGCTCCCGGCTCCCGGCTCCCACCTTCCCGGCAAAGGACGCGTTCGGTTTGAGAAATTGCCGCACAAAAGTCAACGTGTAACGAGAAAATAATAAATGCCATTAATACGGCGGGCGGGGCGGTGGACTAGACAGAAGGATGATGGGCCCAGAAAGGGAAAGCGAGCCAGATGAAAACGAATGGAGTATGAAATTGAAAACCAGAGAGCATAGTTTAAACATGGCAAGAGAAAGTAAAACCGAAGCTTGGAATACTCCTTAAAGGGTATATAGATGGAATTTCATTTAATTTAGAAATGGAGCATAGAACACAGCAATTTTTTTGATCTTAGATATTTATAAAAATAGTTTTAAGATCTAACTAAAATGTTCTTTGAATCTTAAGAAATTTCGAATATTCATATTTTATTGCATTATTCATATTATTTCCAGCTATTTTTCAGCAACCAAAAACTAAGACGTCTTTCTTACATTTTTCCAAAATGTTATTTGTTTGTGTATTTTTCTAAAACCGACAAAGGTGTGTTCTTCTCATTACATTTGTTAATTGTAAAACAAGAAAGGAATCTAACTCGAACCAAAGTTTGATCATAACTATGCCAAAATCAACTAACTCAAAGATGCGTCAAATCTTATTCGGAAAACTCTTTTTGCTTCTTATAGTAACTGTACCCCAAACCTCATTTTGAAAAATAACTCTTACACGGCTTGAAGGCAGTTTAAGGAAAATGTAGACCTTGAAATAAATGATTTCTATTTGATATGCCTGGAATTATGTTTTGATCAATTACCTGAGAGCCTTTCGCCAAGGATGTATGGACGGGTGTTTGAGACCAGGTGGCGATTGTCACGCAATGGCAGCTGGCCTAAAGGCTGCAAGGGTTCTTTACTTTTATTGACAAACTCGACGAGAATTTGTGCGAAATGTGCGTGCGCGACTTGGCCAGGATATCCCTTATCCTTTGAGTGTTTTTCTTTTTTTTTGTTTTTCCCTTTTGAGAACACACAAAAAAGAGGGTCTGCATGTGAGTGTGGTGTTGGGAAGGGCGTGGCCCAGGACACGGCATTTTTTGCCATAGTTGTTGCTTGTGTCTTTTGTTTCCACCTCGTGCCACTTGACATTGCTTGCGGTTTGTTAGCGGTCCAGGCAAATTCCAGTGTGCAACAATCTCGTACGGAAAATTTTGTTATTCAAAACACGACGGATTACCGTTCATTCCGCTTACCCACACACACACACATAAAAGCGTTTCGAAGAACACAGAAAAAAATTAAATAAACATAAGTATTAAATATTTATTTCAATGCTCTTTGTCAGATGATTTTTGTTTTTTAATTTTTTATCAGAAACAATTAGATTTCATTTGTAATGTAGTTGATTTCTGACCCGAAAGCATCTCTAAATGGAATCGGTATAATTTTATTTTTAAATATTTCTGTATAGATATTAAAAAAAAAAAGTATCCAGGGAAAAGTTTACCAACATTCTTTCCTTTAATTTATGATTTCAATTAAATATAGATTTTCTTGTATATCCACTGTGATCAGGGCTAATCCAGCTTTATTTTTCAGTGTAGCTACACGCATGCCTATGTGAGGACCGCAGGCGGCACCTTGCCCTGCAACTCGTGTCGCTGGCGTTGTCACACGGCGCACATTTGTTAGACACTAAGCCCGTGTATGCCTCTCTCCGGTCGGGATAAGAATGTTTATTATGTTTATCACACACACACACACACAGGCAGAAGAGGCACACAGGCACACAGTGGAGGTGCAGGACATGCTCACACAGATAGCGGACAGGACACGACTACAAGTCAAACCGCAAGGCAACCGCACGTACAAAACTTAAAGGGCTGACGGCAAATGACAGACAACAAAACGGCAAAATGAAGCCGCTGCTTCCACTTCCATTTCCACTTCCGTTTCCGCTACTCTGTCCCTGCGGCGAAGCGGCCATTGTCTTGTGTAACTAACTTCAAAATGGCGACACGCCGTGCCACGCAATTATGACCACGCCTACGACTTTTGGCATTTTTCAGTTGGCCCCCAGTTTTTATTTCGCTTTATTAAATGCTTCAGGTAGCTACTTAAACACGTTTTCGATTAGAGCAGCTGCTGTCATTACTCAAAGTCGCGTCGGGGAGAGCTGAACGGAACGTCTGTCTTTTACCTGCTTTCCTTTTTCCCGTTGGCATCCCCAACAATTTTCTTTCTTTTCAGCAGCGCTCTTTTTCCTTTTTGTATTGTGTACATCTTCAATATTTTATAATAAAGCGAAATTCCAGGAAGAGGAATACAAAAATGTGCAGCTGAAGTTGCGCCGGTGGCTGGGATTGGAGGCGGAGGGGGCTGGCGGGACTGGTAAATTGCTAAGCTGGGGTTGCTGCTTACTGGAGTGTGCTGATAAGGCTTGGGATCAGCTTAAAAGAAAGGGAAATTCCAGTATTAAAATGCAAGGGGAGGCGGAAACAAAGGATATTATTTTAGTAATCAGTGGCGTCTTCTGCCGTTGAGTCAGCTTAATCGTAGATGTTAAGTACAGGCCTGTAACTAGCAGGTTTACTTATTGTTTAAACAAACAAAATAGACAAAACTATGTTACAAAACGCCAGAAAACAGACTGAAAAGTATACCTAGCGGAAAATGTTATTTAAAAAAATATTTAATAAATTGTCTTAAGTCAAGCGAGCATCAAAGGAAAAAATATACTTTAACTTAGTAATTGTTTGCCAATAAAAGTCTAAAAACTAATGTAACAACAAAAAAAAAAGAGACGATATTAGAGAGCTGGTAAGCTTTAGCGTTATTTTATAATTATTTATGTACGATTTTACTACTACTTATATTTTAAAATTTCGAATACTCCATAGAACTGTAGAGAGATTATATTTTTCCTGTTCGATTTTTGCACGACCCCTAAAGCCACTCCCACCTCCACAGTCTGCCTTCCACTTTGGAGTGTTTAAGCGGCTCGGCACTGTCATGGCAACCAAGTCGAGCAGCCATTGAATCCATCATGTAACAGAGGAGTGTACACCTTCAAAACGACCACAACCTGTCATAATTTTATGTTTTAAGCCATCGTCATCGTAGCGGCGTGGTTGTAAATGCAGAAAAGTGGGGGCCTCTTTAAAAATAAATCTAAAAGTACTTTAATGTTGTATCCTGTTATCGCTGGCGACGTGCAGCTGTCGCTATTAGCGTGCGACTTGCCGAGTCCTTCAGCCTTCGGCTCCGTTTTCTTGTCGTCCTGCGAAATGGCTGCTCCGTTGTGTTTCCTTTCATTGCTTGATGCGCCGTGTTGACAGGATATTTACAGGATTTCTATCAATATGCCGGCATTAGCACGTACGCCTGCAATGAACGTGAACGTGAGTAATGCCACCCCGAAGTTGAGTTGCGGGGAAAATTCCAAGGAAAACTCAGATGAAAGACAATGCCAACCGGGAAACGGAAGTCGCCATGATTAGCTTGGTTTTCTAATTTAATCATATTTCAGCGGAAAACAGCTGCCGTTATTAATATTTAAAATAAACACAAGATATTTAATTTGAGCATATTTAATCATTTTTTATTGTAGTAAATTGATTTTCTACGATAACTTAGGCGCTTCCAATTTGGAAATTCCACAGAAGTGAAATGTTTGCGCCTATTTCTCAGAATTTCTTTGGCAAATTGAAAGATCAACAGAGACTCTGGAAACGGAGCGTTAAACTTATGCCTGTTAAATTATTTACATTTCATTTGTACCTGCAGTCAGTTGCCTCAATGGGTTAAAACGAGGGCTCAGTCAATTGTTGCCGGTCAAACAAAAACTGGCACAGCAACAACAGCGGCAACAACTACAGCAACAATGAGAACAACAACAACAATAAGCAAGGAGAGCAAGGAGCACAAGTATTTGTGCTATTTAAAATTTGCTTTACCAAACGTCAAGTGGCTAGCAACGGCAGCCGGGGCCAAAGTGCCACTCGGTCCAAACTTAACCCCTGGCTTTCAGAAGTTTCCCCCCGATTTTCCACCTCCCTGTCACGCCCCTTCCGCCTGTGCCCGCCCGCCCATTTGAGCCTAGGGTGTGTGAGTAGGACAGAGAGGGCACCGTGCGGTGGGCCTCGACTTGGGCCTATTGGCCATAAATTATTAATGATTACTAGCCCGAAATTACAGTTAACTCACTTATTTGCTCATTCGCAAATGAAGGCCAATTGCAGTTGGGTGGCGAGCGGGTGGCGGACTCTAATTTATTTTTACCACAAAACCGGCCCAAAAGATAGGGCTCAAGAGGAAGGGTAGAGTCGCCGGCTAATTGTGGGTCCGATTATGTTTAAATATTTATTTTGATTGTTGAAAGTGAGCGCCGAGCATCAATCCGAAAACTTCTCTCATTTACTCGCCGGCAATCATTTGGTATTCATAAGAACTTGCGTACGCAGTCGGAACTTTTTGTGTTATATATATTTTATATAATTTTATGCCTGCTGCGCATAAACGAAATTTATCCCATCGCATGCAAAATTACTCGCTCGTATTTGTAAGGGCCAAACAGAGCGGCAGAGAGGCTGCTGCTGTTTTGTTTTATTTTCTGCGGACTTCCGCCCAAAATGGCATGCGACCCAATTGATTTTCATTAGCCAGGCCAACATCCGAATCAAAATTCAATTTTTTTGTATACATTCGCTGATTGTGTTTGATTGTGTTGTCTTGCCTCGTAATTCGCTGACTTTATTATGCCTTCTTTGACTTGCCAATAATTTCTAGTACTAGGCTGGCATTTCCTTCATTGATTATTCCGTTTTATTTACTTTACGTCCCCGGGGCGGATGAGTTATTCGGTTAGAAACTCTTCTGGGTACTTGGAAATCATACTGTTCAAAGAAAGAAGTAATAATAATGTACTTTTGGAAGGCAGCCTAATTTAAGACATATAATATTGAATGCTGTTTAATTTTTATTATAATTAAATAAATTTTGTTTATGATTAAGCCTGCTGGTGAAGTGAAGGTGTTAATTTCAACCCTATTCCTGCTCAGAATCAACAACCATTGAATATGGTTTCACTCCTTACTCAACTATTATGTATTTTATTCTACAAATAGTTTATCTTTTAACCCCATGAACTTATTGAACTTATTGAACCGTATCTAAAATCACTTAAATTCGACCATAACCCAAATATATATCCACCGATTTCTGTTTTAATTTGACCTGAATGGTAAAAGCGTGGGGGACATCCTTTCAAAAGCCCAAACATCCGAACGAAAAATCTGGCAATGAATGTGAAATAAAAGAGCCCGAAGTAAAGTGCAGAGGTAGATGCGGGGATTAAAAAAAAGCAAAGTGTTGACAGCAAACTATTGAAGAACTATTGAAAAGTATTCAAGCGCAGGAGAGCCTTAGCTGGGCCGTGGACTAAATGGGCGACACGAGTGGCTATGGCTATAGCTATGGCTATGGCTATGGCAAGGAAAAAAATGTTCACCCCCAAATGCAGACAAAAACAAAAATTTTCTTTCTAAAGCACTCAGAGCAGCCCGAAAAGCGTGGGCACACATTGCACACACACACTCGCAGCATGCTGCTAAGATGCCTCAGTTAGTTGCACTGAAAAGAGGATAAACTGCATTTTTATCTTTAAACACACTTCAAGTGCCATAGGCCCCAGCTCCGGCCCTATGCCTGTGTGTATGTGGGCGTGGCAGCCTAACAGGCACGAAGCACAAGCACAAGTGCACGCGCACCTGTCGCCGAGTGTCCTGCGAGTGTGTGTGCGAGGCGAGTCGTATGCGGCAGGTGTGCTTTTGTCAGAGCCCCCGTCCCGTCCTTGTTATTATTATGATTATTATTCAAGTCATCAACGACGGCCATAAAGCAAGTTTTTGGAGGAGCTGTCGCTGCACTTGACGCGCAGCGGCAGAAGCGCAGCGAACGGTGATGAAGAATCGTTAAGAACTGTTGAGATTCGCCAGGAATCCGGCGCCCATTAAATTTATCTGCTCGGATTGTGGGATTTGCCGCGCCCCGGAGCATTAATCACCACAACGGTCGATCGAAATGGGGAAACTATTTATGAAATTTTGGCGGGCTCGAGAGCGCGTTGCGATAAACGCTTGCCAGCCATTTGCCAGCCACACCCAATGGGACCCGTGAAGACATTACGCGATAAGCCTCAAGGTAACGACACTGCTGCAGGTTTCCTCCCGACTCCCCTTTCTTTTTTTTTGGCAATTTATTGCCAACCTTCAGCGGGCGAACTATGCCAATTTCCGCCAGCGAGTTGGGAGCGGTAAAGAACGCAAGCTAAAAGAGGTTTGCATAACGGTAAGAATTAATTTTTTAACACGCATAGAGCGGGAAGGAGATGGTAAGATGCATTGAAAAAAATAGTCGTTATTCAACTAGAAACATTTTAAGGTAAAGTAGTTAGTTTCTTATTAATAAATTCTTCAAAGAATGGAACAAATATATGTTAAAATATTTTGTATTGTCTTCTTTAAATAATTAATTTAATATTTATAAATATAGACACATATAGTATGATTATCATGTAATTAAAAACCATTTAAATTTTATTACATTAATCCATTCCGAAACACAAAATGTCATCGTACTTCCTTTGTTCAAAGTTTCTTAAAATGTTTAATTCTAAACCCATATTTTCCCTGAGTGCACTCGCAGTTATAAGGAAGAAGAAGCTCGCTGCGCGTTGACACTGATTTTGACGCATTGCTCCCAAAGGATGTGACCCAAAAAGTCAGTGCGGCAAATGAGCAAATGTAGGCGGCGGCGAAAGGGATGCGGCTACAGAAACCGGTTAAGTGTTCGCCCGTCTGAAGTGCTGGAAATCTGAGCACGAAATATGAGAGATGTCATGAAAACTGGGCAAACTGGGGAGGATATATGTATGCAGGATATGGAAGTGGGTTGTAGGTACTCTCGTCCGCCTAGTCGTTAGCCGTGGTTTTTAATTTGCAGCCGACTGGGGAGAGAGGTGAGGTCCTGACAAAGTGAAAGGCAGACACAGACACGGTCGGGCCCTGTGCAGTGTGGCAATCAGACAGTAGGGAGCCTGGCATTTTAATATGCAAATTGCAGAGCGAGAACCAGAACCAGAGACAGAGCCAGAACCTGAACCAAAACCAAAACCAGAAATGAAAGTTATGTCAGGGGCAACCTCCTCTCAGAAATCCCTTTGAGCCAAAGGTGTTCCAGCGCACAGCCACCAATTGATAAAGGCAAACTGGTTCAATGCCATGCCAAATGCCAAGAAAAAGTAAAATGCGAAAATCCTACAGAAGACAAAAACCCCACTGGAAGCCCCAGCCAACAAGATTCGCTGCGAGCGTTGGGCCAGTGCTTCACCGCGCAAAGCAAAGGAAAGCTGGTTGCAAAAAGAAAAAGGGGGAAATGCGAAAACGCTGAAAAGCATGTCAGTTTCATGCTCGCGGCCGCACTTAACATTATTTCTGCTGCACAAGCAACAAGAATCCACTTCTTTTGTGGAGAAACAACAGCAGCAACAACCCAGCAGCAGCAGCAGCTGTAGCAGCAGGCAGCAGCATGTTGATGCTCTTACATATAACGCATACGCCACGTGGTACGCGCGCCAGCAGGTTAAACTTAAATATTTAATGAAGCGTTTAATGTGCAACTTCCCGTGTCCCCCACAAAACTGTAACCCTTAAGCAGTCTTAATTGGCGAGACCCGGTCCCCTGTCGCCGGCTCTCCTTCGGTCAAGCTAAAAACCTGCAAATATTTTCAACAAATTTTGGCCTAATGCAAAAAATATTTTATTGTGCTGCCGCTGGCTGTCGCCCGCCTTTGCATAAAAGGGACAGGTGGGGCCGGCAGCTCAGTACAATAAATTTGAGCTGGCAGAGAAGTACTAAGAGTATACACTAAAAAATATTTCCAGGTCAAAATATAATTACAGCTGTTTAATTACTAATAAAACCGATTTTACCTAACTTTGAAACTGATTAAGCAGCTTGGTAAGTCCAAAATTCGTATTTATTTTATTCAAGACTTTTTTCTGAGTGTAGACTTGGAGCAGCAGTAGCAGGAGGGATGTTGGACTCTGGGCAAGCAGCCCAAAATATTTGCGGCGGTCCTCTAAGCCCAGGCATGCGGTTGGCCAGGCATGTGCAGCATTTCAAGCAGCGCACTTCTCACAGAGGCAAAACAATAATACACACGCCCAAACACACCCAGGCGCACACACAACAACACACACACATACAACTCGCTAAACAAAGGATGCTATGGCAGCCATAACATTTTTCGGACGCCCACCAAAGGTAAGTAGATGCAGGTGCTGGCTTAGTGATGTCATGATCTAGAACCACGGCTGAACCAGGAAATAAATAATTGGCCCGAGAACTTATAGTAATCAGAAGACAGATAAGAAATTGATGGAGTGCAGCTATATATTTAGAAATATATTTGGTTTGGGAACGTAATTCAGGCTATGAGAATATATATTAAGAGACATCTTATACGAAATGACAAATAATGGGTAAGGTAAATTATAAAAGATATAAATACTTGTAAGGCTGCTTGTTTTAACTTCAAATATAGAACAAATTGTTTTAAGATGTGTTATTTCCATTTATTTATATCTTAAATTATATAAAACTCTTTTTAAAACACCTTTTATGACAGCTATCTAATATAAATATTTTTCTACCTAAAACCATTCATTTTCTTACAGAGAATTACACAAATGTCAGTATTCTAGGAGCCATCACTGGAACTGCAGCCGCCATGGCGACAAAGCATTAAAACCTTTGCACGAACCTGCTGGCAATCTGGTATTCTCCGACCATCCAGAGGCCAGAACAATGCCGTGGCTGGGCCTGTTAAACATTTAAAGTGAACAATGAAATATGCCCAGACTGGCTCCAGTCCTGTCCTGCCCTGCCCTGCCCTTCCTTCCGTTCGTAATGCGTGAATGCCACCCATCAGCTCTTCTCTCCCCACACAGCCGGACGATTTACTTATTTACATCAAAGCCCGAGTCAAGGTGTTTTATGCTGTGTACTCGCCTGATGCGTAGTCGCACTTACAGGCGATGCAGCCTGCCTACCAATTACCCGCTGAAGCATCCAGCACCCACCACCTGGCACCTGCTACTTGCCACCACCCCCAAGACCGCCCACACACAACACACACACCACGCACTTCAAGGGGGATGAAATAAAGGAGAGCCTTGCGGCAGCGCGATAAACTTGCGAACGTAACGAAATTCGGTCAACAGCAGCGTGTTGGCCACGCTTAGCGCTACTGCCCACATGTGGCCATAATTTTTAAGCGCCAAATGAGCGGCCATCCATTGGCCGTGATGTCTGGCATTTGCCGTCCGCCGTTTGCCAGTGCGACATTGTCGTGGGCTAAGGACACGGACACCAGAGATACCTTTGGGTCCTGGCCAAATGGCGAAACGTTGTTGCCACCGGACATGCGGGGGTACCTTGCGTTTTCTAACCGTAGTTGGTGGCCTGCTTGGGACTAATAGCTGACCGTTAAAATTAACAGCGTAATTGGGAGTGAACTCATATAAATCGGTAAGTAAGTCTTAGCTCTCTCGGTGGGGACTTTTATCAGCCCTTATTGGGCCAGCTCATTTCGATTTAGTTCATTGGGATTTCCCTGCACGATTCCTGACCTTTGCTTTGGCCCTAAATAATCAGAGCCAGACATTGGCAACCCTTTACGGAGAGTTTTCCAATCTTCCATAAAATTACACTTTTCGAAAATATTCTCTTGAAATAAATGTCTAAAAGCCTAAGTTTGGGAAAAGTTAAAAGTGAAATATAGATAAAAACATAAATAATCACTTAATAGTTAAAAATTTAAAGCTACTTTTGTATGTTATTCACAGTATATATATTGAATTAAATTAAATTTGCCAAAGAAAATTTATCTACAAACTAATAATTACTCAAGTAAAAGCATTCAATCAACTTAGGTTACTACCGTAAATAAGGCCACGTGTCTGGAAATAAATAAACAATTTACCCAAAATATTTACACAGGACAGACGCAACATGAATGCAGTTACAGAAACCCGATCGTATATGGCATGTAGCATGTAGCAAGCGGCTCAAAGTGGCAGGACAACACACACATTTTGTCAAAAATTCCTCGAAAGCAGACAAATGAAAGCCAAACAAAGAGGAGAAACAAAAACAGCAAAAGATACAGAGAGAGGGAAAGGACAGCCGAAGGGAGGGTGGCGGCGGAATGAAACCACAATCGAGACCATTATCAATTACACGCACAGCAGGACACGGCGGCAGGACACAGCAGAAGCAGAATCCGAAGCAGGAACAGAAACTGAAACAGGAAGACGGCTAGCAGAGGGAACGAGAAGGAGGAAGTAAAACGCAAACGAAATGAAAATACGCATAAAATTGCAATTTACATCAAATCCATTTGCACCCATATGTACACCCCCACACACACACACACACACACACAAACATCGCAAAGTTACAAATAAAATTCATTCACACGCATAATGAAACTCGCTCTTTTTCCCAGGCTCTCTCTTACGCATCCCCCCAAAAACTGCAAGGGGATAACAGCACGCTGAAATAAGGACAACAATGTTTCGAAATAAACAAACAAATGTGACTGGACGGCCAAGGGGGGTGTGTGCAGGGGGTGGCTGGGGGTGCGATTTCCCGATTAAGCACACGCATCCATCGACTGGGATCGCTGGAGAGTTTTTGGGCCTGAGAAAAATCCACGCCCTATATGTAAATTATTAGCCAGGCCACTTTTTGTCCGCCCAACTCGCGGCGGCGACACAAGTCCCTGGAGTTTCTGGCGAACACTTTTGCGGGTGGCCAAAAAAACCGGAGAGACACCCAAAAGGGAGATGGGGATGCTCTCGTTTTGTAGACTTCTGCCATGTGGCTTTAAGTAAAACGCCCTTTTGGAGTCGCAGCTAAGAGAACATACAGCTAAGAGAGAGTTTTGGTATTGTTATTTTTATGTTTTCGATTAAAAGAAGTTTGGGTAGAGAGTTTATATAGGCTTAATCTAGGTAAAAGCAGGTGATGCCTGAAAAATAATACCCCCATAAGCAAGCCTAACCTTTGGAACTCACCAGCAAAGAGCTAGAAAATCACAAACCATTGCCTACTTACTGGCTGGAAGAGAGTCGCAGGTCCTGTATCTCAGAGATTCAGTGGCAAAGGGTGGCTGCTGATGTGCTCTTTCGCATTTGTCGCTTTGTGGCTCAGCATGCGCAGAGCGGCCAAGAGCGATGGCGACTGCCACACGACCACATCCCGAACAGCATCCGCTCCAAAGGAACTAGCGGCGGCGGCCCCAGCTGCGAAAAAGTCTGCCGTGCAGCGGCGGCCATCAGTAGTTGCCTCAGAGCCCGCGGGTTGAAGAAATCGTACGCATCGAGCGAGTGACAAGCGTCGCGTCTCACCAAACAAAGAAAAGAAAAAGCAGAGCCCCAAAAATAAAGCAAAAAAAAAAAAAAAGGAAAAACAAGTATAAAAACAACAAAAAATACATAAGCCAGCTTACACTGACACAAAAACAGAGCCAGTCCGACGAATATTTTGTAGTTGCAAAAATTAATATAAACCGAAACGAAAATGCTGCCAGAAATCGTAAGCAAATGAGCCCATTGGCCCACGGCTCCCATCAGCGGCTGCTGCAGAGCAGCGAGTCCGAGCCCGGTCCCGCATCAGCATCAGCATTTGCATTCGCATCTGTAACCGCCTCATCAGCCGCATCCTCATCCGCATGCCGCCGCGCGTCCCTGTGTGAGTGCCAGTGCCTAATCGAAGCGAATCACCCGCAATTGCAGTGTACAGCAAACTAATCCAGATTCGCGTCTAAAATTGAGTTTCGTTTCCGGGATCCGGTTTCGCCGCGCCTCTCCCAAATTCGTTGGCCAAGTCGCTCGGTACTAGCTTCTTGGTCCAGGCAAGTCGCGTTGTCGGTCGTCCGTTTCTCAGACATTTTTTGTGCTGCTCGAATATTGATGCCGATGCCAGGCAGCCGCCCTGTAATGTAAGTTACGGTGCGATGTCCCTCTGCCCCACAGCCACTCCCATCCCCACTTCTTGATTAATCCTGCCCCGTTTCAACCTGCTTATCTGTTGCTCCAAAACGTTGCCGCAACGTTCAACGCCCCAGACAGCAGGACATGCAGACAGACAGACAGGCAGGCAAACAGAGGGACGAAAAGCCGAAAGGACGAGGGGGCTTCGGAAATGTGTGTCAGTGTGCGAGCTCACTGTACTTGAGTATTGAGGCGAAGGCAAGCTGAATGTTTATGGCATACCAATGTCGTGAAATTGTTAAAAAATTGTTTTGCTAGATTGCGTTGAGTATTTTTATTTATTCCCGGAAAGAGGTAATACTTTTGCTTTGAATTTAAATAAAGAGTGTCGGTGGAATGTTAATAGATGTTTTGAAAGGCCATTATCTACTAAAAAGTAATTTTAAATATGACATTGCTTTATATTCTTTTAAATTTTATGTTATAAAACACTTACAAACTTTGTATAATCATTAAAACTTCTTGTTTATTGCTTCTTACCATACCTATGCCTTTTTTAACAAGTCTTAAGTACTCCAACATGATATATTTTAATATAATTTAAGCAATCTTTGCAATTGGTTTCTTACTCATCATAAATATTTTGGCTCATCTTAAAGTATAATTATTCCCTGGCTTTTTAATCACAACTCGGTGACTCGTATAAACAAATGCTGACTCGGCTAGGTTAACATGTCTAGGCGGCCTTTGTGTTGATTTTCTCATTTTATTATTACCTCAAACGTTTTTCTCGTTTGCTCTAATGAATACGCTCCGACCTGTTATCCCAGTTTCGTTTGGTGGCCACCCCTCCTCCACCTTTCTTTTGGTTCTTTCCTGCAACCCGTAAGCTGCTGGCAGCTACCTACAAGGTAGCACATTACCCATACGCCAGGTATGCCAACCAGTCAACCAGCCAAGGCAGCCAGCCAGCCAGTCAGTCAGACAGGCTCCCAACTCGTAGCGCTTTTCCTTTGCCTGGTTTTCCCCGCCTTTCCTTTTTCGCTTTTCGTTTCGTTGCGTTTTTGTTTTCTTTGTTATTGTTTTTAACGCAAATTCCCACTTGCTTAGTTGCCTGTTCTGGGTTGTTTTTTATGTGCATGCTGCTGCCATTGTCTTTGCCATGACACACAAACACAAATGTAGCTACGGAGGTATATATATTTATTCTGAACAATTGGAAGCACAATATTAGCACAGAAAATAAGGTTTTTTTTATTAAATAAAATGTTATTTGGACTTTTTTTGAAGGTTTTTAAAGAGGATTTAGAAGATAAATGTTAGTTGGAAAATCCCTAAGTTTTATATAAATGGATTAAGATTTGAAATAGTATTATATTTATTAAACCTTTTCTGGAAATTCATGTTGCCTAACACCATGTCCGCGTATCCCTTATATTATTTTTTCAACTCCTATTGTTTTAACCTCAAGTGTATTATCTCCAATGTCGCTTGTCTCTGTGTGTGTTACGGGCTTTTGTGAGACGCCATTGCCATCTTTGTGCTCAGCGTCTTGTTGTTGTGCAAATATTTGCCTTTTTTGAAGTTGATTTTTGGTCTTCGTCTGAGCGCCTTTTGTTGCTAGCTCAAGTTCCTCCACCAAAGGGCCCCATGCCACGGCAATATGCTGATGAATCGTTGCTAAATTGAATATCGAGTGTTTATTTATATTGGCCGGCAAGTGTCACGCCCGCCACCCAGTGTCCCGTGTCCTGCGCTCAGCAAATAATTTGAAATTGATGTATTATCTTGGACGGAGCGTGGCACAATTGTCTCAGACTCAGTCTCAGTCTCAGTCCCAGTTGCCGAGCTTCCTTTTATGGTGCTGCACGCTTAAGTAGTTTGTGCAGCGCAAACAAAATTAAGCAAGTTGCAAGTTGTTTGGACAAAAGTTGCTGTCACAATTGTTATTTCAGCGCTGCGCAGCGGGCGGAAAAGCTCGAGTAAACAATTTATAGAATAAACGATAGGGCGGGTCAAAATACACAGTCACAGACCGACCAGATATTAAAGCTGACTTTGCCCCGATCAATATACAAATGAATCAACGCCAAAGGGGACACCGGAGAGTAGCAGACAATAAATATAGCGAAAATGTAGAGAATCCCCAAAAATATATATTTTCTGCAATGCAGACGCAATCGCAATCGTTATTTATAACTGAGAAATCTGTCACAGAGCGCAATTCGATTGTGGCTGAAGTTCCCATAAATTGCTTTGTCGTTGGCCATCGCAATTTATAGCGCATACTTTCTGGGGCTTCCGGCGGAAGTCGCCTCGACTAACTAAATATTCAAGGCAGCTCATTAGTCCCGGGGATTCCCTCGAGTAGAAAGGCTCTGCCGCAGGCAGGCGGAGCATTGGGAACGTGCTGTTGCATCAAATCTGCGCTTTAACTCGAGTGCATTATGCACCATTCCATTTTCATTTCCATTTTCCTGGAGGAGATCCCCGGACTCGGAGCTCGGGACTCGAGGACCATTGTTGCTGGCGATGCACTTAGCTGACCTGCAGCGCCTGAAAAGGAGTGCTCCACTCCCTGCAGCTTTTTTGGTTGAAAAACTGCCCGCATTGCTGCTCCTTTATGCTCAGATACAGATGCTCAGATACACAGATACAGATACCCAGATACATTGCCGTCGCTGTCGCTGTAGTAGTAGTTGCTGATGGACATTTGCTGGCAGCTCTTGTGCCTTCGTCGGGGTCCGTCCCTTTATGCGCCACAAATGAAAATGCAGACAGACAACGGGCGCCAGCCGACAGCAGCAGCAAAAACACCAACAAGAGCAACAACATCGGCAGCCACGACAGCCACGTCGTCTGACGATGACGTCGCATTTCTGGAGACAATGAAACAAACTGAACCCGGCACAGATCCCAGCCGAGTTCGTTGACAACTGTGTCTCCATGTCTCTCTATTTTCCCCTATTCCCGGCAGGACACTTCAAGAAAAATATTTAAATTATAAAATATTGATTGGGAAAAAAGTTTGAAATACTGCTAGAAGAACTTCGGAACATTTTGATTAATATAAAATATAAATTAATAAAATAACTAAACAAGGATAAGCATTCTGCCTATCTCAATAACTCTCCAACTCTTGTCGTTCGGCTTTCCACTTACTTCATTTAAAAAGCCAGAGGATAATGGCCAAGTTATATACATTTTCGCTCTCTGCATATTTCTATTTCTATTTGCTGCCTTTTCACATTTATTTAACATGCATTTGAATTATGAGCCAGCTGAAAGGAATAAACACAAAAAAATAACCGAGCAACTTTGGCTTTAATTCATAATTATTTTTATGTCAGCGCACTCATTAAGAGTTGCATTTGTTGCTGTTGCTGTTGCTGCTGCTGCTGCTGTGCTTTTCATTCCATTTTCAGCTCCCTTTTTTCCCATTTTCCTCTTGCATTTATCCTGGCTTTGTCATTTGCATTTCACATTTGGACTCCTTTTGCATTTCAAACGCTCCAGCTGCACTTTTCGTTTTTTTTAAATGGCCCAACAGTTTCTGCCCCGTTTTGCCTTCTGTGGGACTCTTAATTGCAGTTCTCAATTACTGAATGAAAAGTAATAATAAATTGGACGGCAAATGAACTTTGTTCATCGAAAGAACACACTGCAACTGCACTTTAAATTTGCTTTAATGAATATGACAAAAGTTTATACGAAAAAATTCTTCCGAAGCTCAACTCTTTTAATGCTATTTCAATTTAACAACTCAAAAATATATTTAAAAAAAGAAAGAATTTAATTTTCCCCTGGCAATTTGTCAACTGGGTGTGGCCCCTGAAAAGCCCCGACCAAAGCATCCCGGCTTCAGATACACACACTCTCTACCGGGCACATATATATGTAAGTCTGTGTACATATATAAATTATCATTGCCAGCCAAAACTCAACTACGATAAATTGCCAGGCAACGGCAGCAGCAGAGGAAAAATCTATAATTTACACAAAATTCGTTTCCGCATGCGAACGCTTTTCCAATATAAATTGTTCCCATTCCGTTGCCGCTTTCCCAGCGCTTATAACATATTCATATTGATGCTACCAGAAATGGCCATAATCGTCCCACCAATCCGACTGGCGACCTTAGACAGCTCCCGATAGGAAGTGTGCCAAGTGAATGGCGAAAAGGATCGGGTCCTCGACCAGTTGGCAACTGTTTCTGGTTAATTTAATTTATGTACAGTGCTTTTGCCTGCCAGCTTCCGTCCGTTTCCAGGCTAATTGATAGTATAATTTCCATTAACATTTTGCAGGGATTGTTACTTTGATTCCAGCAGACAATGCCAAGTTTTAGTTAGTTCATTAGCCTGTTTTTTTCCAGGGATAGTACAATGACATCCAAAATATTAAAATTCTGTAAAACTAAGACATGATAATTCCTACTTATAATTTGATTAATGGTTTTGCAACCATTTCCTGTAATTCCTTGCCTTAAATTTAATTTTTAAAATTTCCAGCCATACCGAAATTCAAGACTGCTATCTGGAATTGCTTCAAACAAACAGCATCAACAGAACCACATCAAAAACATCAACAAAGTGCTGCCAGCAACATAAAACGTAATCAGGAATTTAAGTAAAAACGTAAAGAAACCGAAACAGCAGAAGAACAAAAAAACAAAATAGGAAAGGCAGGAAGGAAGCCGAAAACATGTTTATGGAATTGTCATTGTTAACGAGCAACTGACGACGCAACAGCTCAAGGCATGTGGCAGGAGCAACATCAGCAGGAGCAACACTGAGCGGCAGCAGCAACACAGTAGCAGCAACCGAGTAGGAAAGCAAACACACTCCGTAGGTAGAGGTGTGCTGCTGTAAAGCAGCACCATTGCTGCCATTAAAATAGACGCCGCGGCGCAACAGCAACGCTGCCGTCGTCACAATCAACGCCAGCGACAACACCATCCACATCATCGCCATCGCAGACGACGACGGCGCAGCAGCAGCAGCAGCAACAGCAACAGCAGCAACATCAGCGGCAGCAGCCTGTTGGGCGGTGTGGGCGTGGCAAGCAGCTGTCCCTTGTCCCAACTTGCCACTCAGCAACTAATCGACGATCCAGGCAGCAGCAACAACACTGGCGAAGACGACGGCGGCGCAGCAGCAACATCAACGCAGCAGCAGCAGCAGCTGCAACATTGCAACTTGCAACATCAGCAACGAGCACGACGGCGACGCTACGACTGCCTGTCATCTGTAGGCAATGCAACGCGCTGTGCAGCAACGGTGAGTACACTGACCACAATATATATATTATGAACAAGCTATATTTTTCCGTAACTGATGGAGGAACAATATCTCAATCAAAAAGAGGGGCGATATTTTACTTTCCTTTGTATTTATTATTTAAAAAATATTTTAAACTATTTCAGAAAATATTCTAAAAAATTTCACAAAGGTGCCTCAATGGGTCTTAAGATTCAAAATTATTTTTATGCTCTCTTAAAACTCCCAATACCAATAAATTTTGGGGACTTTGGCCCCTCAAGGACCACGCAAGAAGGCCTCCTACGCGAAACTCAATTATCGCATCTTTACAAGTTACATCCGAGAATTTCCCACGACCATTACGTGATCTCGTGTCAATCTTGTCACCAGGCCCGGGGCCAACTGTAGATGTGAATGTGAATGCGAGAACGTGAATCTGTGCCGCGACGCGACTCGACTCGGGCCTTCGCCTGCCCATTAGCTGTCAGGTTAATGCACCCAAAATGTTAATAAAACACAAACACACACGAACGGAGCGGCGTACATATGAATTTATGATAAGCACACGCAGGGGGGCATATAGAAACCCAGGGAGTTGGTTAGCAACGCTGGGCAGAGGGACTGGGACTAGCATGGGGGAAACAGGCACTTTAAAGTTGCGACAGCATGACGTGGGCAAACTTTCAGCGCGACTTGTGCTAATGAATTCCCCAGCACACGCCCTGTCAATGTATCTGTGCCTGTGTATCTGTTGTTGTGTCTGTTAGCACAGGGAAAAATTAAGACCCGAAAAAATGTTTTTTAATTTTTTTAGGAGATTTTGAAAGAGTTTATCGAAGTGACCATCTTAGAATAAGAAATTAATATTCCCTGAATTAAATAAAGGTATCTCTGCTAAAGTATGGAAAGTTTCTCGTAGTGTATCTATATCTGTGTCCCCTGTATCTGAGTGTGTGCCACCGACAGTCGTATAATTTCTAATGCGATGCTTTTATGATCGTTCTGCACACAAACACACTCGGAAAAACACCCACGGGTGCTGATGCTGCCACGCACGTGCCTCAGCCTACTAGGAAATACTATATATCTAAGCGTGTGTGTGTCTGTATGGAAATTAAAATGCATAAAAGGATAACAGCAGTGTTGCTGCTGCCGTTGACAAACCACAGGCCCACATCGAAGCCGCTAGCTGTCGGCACAACATTGTCATTGTAGGCAAATTTCGCCAGAGACTGCATCGACCAAAAAAATAGAAACACGAGCAAAAAAAGAAAATAATAAAAAAGAAAAACAAACAAGAAAGGAAGCTAACTTCGGCACGCCGAAGTTTGTATACCCTTGCAGATTGGTTTTGATGTTTATATTATAGATTTAAATGCTGAAAACACTCACAAAACAGAGTTTCATTACATTATGTTTACAGTTTGACAGTTACAGTTTTACATTCCCAGCTTTATATATTTTATACATTTACCGATCGCTTCTATGGCAGCTATATGATATAGTTGTCCGATTTTTATGAAATTTATACCAAAATTCTAGAATAATAAAAAAAATGTATATCTCAGAGTAAATAAAAATGCGTTGAAAAAAAACGAACCTATAATTTTATTTCTATTAATTTCCCGATCGTTCCTATGGCAGCTATATCATATAGTCGTCCGATTTTCATAAAATTTTTACCAAAATTCTGGAATAATATAAAATGGCCATATCTAAAAAATGGTGCAAAAATGTTGAAAAACAGCAAAGTTATAATTTTTTTCTAAAAATATATCGAACATTTGTATGGCAGCTATATGATATAGTCGTCCGATCCGGCCCGTTCCGACATATATAGCAGTGAGAGCATATAGAAGACTATATGCAAAGTTTCATTCAGATAGCTTTAAAACTGAGAGACTAGTTTGCGTAGAAACAGACAGACGGACAGATGGACAGACGGACATGGCTAGATCAACTCGGCTGTTGATGCTGATCAAGAATATATATACTTTATAGGGTCGGAAACGTCTCCTTCACTGCGTTGCAAACTTCTGACTGAAATTATAATACCCTGCAAGGGTATAAAAACGAAAGCGAAAGCCCCTGACAAATTGTACTGCAGGGAAAATTGTGATTTTCGCGCTCATCAGCAGTGGCAACAATGGCCCCAAGTGCACGTGTTGCAGGGCAGGCCACGTCTGGTTTAATTTTAGCACCGGTGGAACCGGATCCCTGAGTTAAACCGAGCGGAGCCGGTGCCGTTGCCGTTGCCTACTACACCTTGACACTACAAAACGGGGCGTATACGTAATACACACTGCATACTATTAGGCGCTCATAAAAAATGTAACGTTGTCGCATAAAAATAGATGTCGAACCCCCATGCCGGTGACAGTTCCCAGCTTTTGCTTTTGTTGTTGCGGCTTAGCGAAGAATAAACCATGCATAATGCCCCCCAATGTTGTTGTCGCCTTCATCAACATTTGAGTTATAAATTTTTATATGATTTGAGCACGACTTGTACCATAATTACGTTGGTGTTTGTGTGCTGGTGTGTGTGTGTGTGTGCCTGCTTAGGTATCATAATAAAATGTTCAACATTTTATGGCCGCACTTGAAGTTTCGTGTAGTTAGTGTTGCCTCGACCAAGTTAAAACCATCTTATCGGCGACACAGAGAAAAAATAATAACAAGTTGCTTGTTATGAAAGTCTTAACATTTGAATTAATTATATTAGCAAAGTTTATACAACTTTCTAGAAGGATAATAAAAACAATAGTATTTATTGATGTTGTATTAGTTTTCATTATGAATATTAATGAAATCTAAATCTGTTAAGTCCCCTTAGGTGGCTTGATATTAACTTGTATTCAGTTTTAAAAGAACATATAGTAAATATTATTTAAATGTATAGTTTGTCTTGCGATAGAACCTGACTGTGACACGTTTATATCCCAGAAGCAATCATTATTACGATACAAGCAAATGCAGAGTTGATGGCCAATTTGGTGCTACTTTTTTCCGTGCACTTTTTCTGGCCGCTTGTGTGTGTGTGTGTGTCTGCCTCTGTGATTGCGTCCTGGCCGGAGGCAGTTTGGCCCGAGGGCCGAGGAAGCAGCGATTATTATTGGCAATCAAGTGGAGTGCCATCTTGCCTTTGGCTAGTTCAGTCTCTGATTGCAGTCGGCATGTCAGAAGAGAGAGAAAGAGCTGAGAAATTGCTCCTTTGGGTGGCTTTCCAGCCAAAGGATACATGCACTGACGCAAATATCAGATTTCGGATGGAGAAAGACGCTCGTAAATGGAAATCAAATCAATCCAGGAAAAACTCCTCCAGTTGATAGAGCTTCGATTTAGGGTTAAATATTTTTACGTTAGCCTCACTTGGCTGTCATCAGTATTCGCTACCGAAAAACCAATCTATTCTGCCTCCAATCTATACTGTTTTGTGAGCTATTCTCGCACACTCGCAGTTCATAAGCCAGGAGCAGCGTGTAATATGCCTTCGATAACATTTTGCTCGTGTGACAAATTTGAGTCGCAGCCCAGAAGAAATCGAATAGAGAGCGCTTGAGAGAAGCAGGAAAAGTTTTCTGCCCGGGAAAGAAGGGTCTGGATGCCTGGCTGGCAAAAGGACAAAGTGTTAAATGTTGACATGTCATGACATTGCAAAGGCCTGAGCCGTAGAAGGACCAACTAAAGGAGGATGGACGCTTCCTGGACACCAGGAGACGATGAAGACTGCTTGGTCAACGGCCGGGGGATACACAGAGATAGAGAGTAAGAGAGAGAGAGGCAGCATCGCCGGAACGAGCGGCTTACGTGCTGACAGCTGACAGGCGAACCAATGAACTACGATATGACATGGCCGCCATTTTGCCTCATTCTGCTGGAATAACATTTGCTCTGAGCCTGTGTGTGTGTGTGTGTGTGTGTGTGTGTGTGTGCTCGCCTGTGTTTGTGTTTGTGCGGAACATCAACTAATATTGTCAACGCAACATTCGACTTGTTATCCCTTCCGCTTGTCTGGCTTCCTCTTCTTCATTTCGGCTTAATTTCGTTTTGAACTCCTCGTCGGCCATTTTGTCTCCCCGCCTCGCTGACGCTGTCTCCGTCTCTGTTTCTGACTCTGTCTCTGTCTCTGTCAGTTATTTGCAGAAATTTATTGAAATTGTTTGTCAAATTCCGTTTACTTGTTTTTCGCATTTTGCCAAAATTTCCTTCTTTTTTTTCTGCCAGCACACCAAATGATGACAAGGACAACCAGGCTTCCTTCGATGTCCTCTTGCGCCATTTTCTTTTACTCTGTCTCCTTTCTCTCCTCTTTTTGTCCGCATTTCAACAATAAGTGTGTGTGTGTGTGTGCTTGGCAGTTAATCTAAGAACTCGAACTCGAGCGGGGCTATATGGCCGCTTCGTGCCATATCAACTATAAGTTGGTCCTTAGTGCGACCCCGTCCTCGCTCCTTTTTATAAGTTGGCGCTATAAAATGTTGCGCCATCCCCTGTCTGCCAGTGTTTGTTTTTGCATGCAATTTTCGCAGCTCACTTCTCTTTCTACTCTTTTTTTTTTTTTGGTGGTTTCACTTCAGTTTTAGGGCGAAATAAATAGGACGCCGGCGTGTATATAAATATATTCAAGAAGCGATTCAAGACTTTATTGATGTTGCTTGAATTTGAATGACATTGTAAAATTACACGCAAATATATGCAGCCACCGAGCAAAAAAGACAAGTACTCCCGGCTCTTCATCGAAGCAAGAGCATGATGGCAAGGGAACTAAAAAAAACACAGAATAAGAGAAAAAGAAATTTGGTGTTCTAAAAAGTTTTATGTGCATATCTATTACAACTTCCAGGCTATGTGTGTCATATCGGACAACTGTCACATACAAAAACTGGAGAGTCTGTGTATGTCTTTTGCATAAACCATAATAAAATTGGCCAAGGGGTTGTTTTGTGGGTTGTTTTTGAGCCATATGTCTTATGTAAGTGGCTGAAAAAATTTGCTGGAATTATTCCCGCTCAGGCATG